GAGAATTGGGTCATCAAGACCTGAAGAGGCACCAGCAGCTGCCTCTGGTGTGCCAGATGCTGGAGACACTTCCAAGCCCTGGCCATTGAGAAGCATGCTGCTAAACGAGCAAGAGCCTTTCACAGCAATAGGGAAGCTGAATTCCATAGCAACCGCATTATATCTGATATGCTGGCATGGCACTATTTGGAGGAGAGCAGAAAAGCTGTGCATGGCTTGGAAACTTGGAACTGCCGCTCCCACTACGGGAATGGGATGCGAACAGATGCCATTGCAGTAAGATGCAGGATGCTGTGTCGCAGAATGGGAAAGAAGGCATTCGCTTGTGAGGTTTTTCCTCTCCAGGATGGGGAATAAAGAAGGAATGATAAAGGTCTCCAAGAGTTTAGAGTCACCCGAGGAATCAATGAAGGGCTGGTGAATACCACCCATCATTCAGGCAGTCCCTGATGTCAAATCTAGTACTAGGAACTGAAAGGGGATAGAAATTTAGGGATGGGATGGGATAGTTACAGTTGTTTTCACCTGAATATCTAGGCTGGAGATTGACAGAGAACATACATGGCTTCAGGATATTCTGGGCACTATCTCTACAGGCATTTCCTTGCTTTAAGCATTTATCTAGGTGTCTACTTCTGGTCATTGTCAGAAAAACATAAATGGGCACTTGATCCGAGCTGATATGGCTTTTACATTCTCTAAGACTTGGCATACAGACAGCAGCTATTTTTATATATACATGTATATATATAAAAAAAAAGCCCAGAAATCTCCCATGGATGACTCTCTCCTGCCACGTTTCCTATCTGCCATTTCCTCCTGTTTCCGCTGAGCATCCTCACCGCAGACGTGCCTGCCCTCACCTGAACCCCAACCCGACGCAAGCTCTGTGGATCCAGGAGAGGAGCATCCTAGAGTTGTACCATTGCCATCAGGCATGAAAATTGCTTTCTTACAATTTCTTGTCAACCTCACACCAGAATTTCCATTCGTTTGTTTCTCCAGCTTAGTGTCTGCCCCATTTTCATGCGGTGAACTCATCTTTAAAGTGCATGCAGCCGGCTCGCAGTTTTTGCCATAGCCTGTTGCTGGTTGGTTATTACAGACAGAAAGTCTGTAATATTTTACTGGGAGCTTGATAACTGTATGCAGTTTGCTTGTGTCGTGTTCTTTCATCCGTTTATCAGCTGGAGGAAAGAGTTTTTACTGGTACAAAAAATTTCATTTGCTGCGGTAGATTGAAGCCTCATCCTTACTCAGGTTAGCAGAGGGACGTGTGGGCTGGGGCTGTGCATTGCCTGCGAAGTTTTCGCGTGTTTTTTTGGGATTGTGTTGCCCCCTGCTGACCGGGGACAGCCTGGAGGAACAGCAGGGTCCCTGTGGGGTTCCTGGGGTGCCTGCAGGCTGCAGCTTTCACCAGGCACTGCTGCTGTGGCAGCAGCTGCAATCCCCCCCGAAGTCAGATTTATTCTTGGGGATTCCCCAATAACTCGAAAAAATGGAAGAATATCCTCCCTCCACTGACGCCTGCAGTTCAACTGACATTTTATTGAAGTTTGGGTTTTAATTAGCAAGTTAAATGCCATTGGAAAGGCTTTAAAACAAGCTCCTTGTCATCTGGTGCCTCTCATCAGTTGGCGTAAGAAAAGCACAATATGACATGCCGTGTGAAGGGAGGCTAGAATTTGACATTATTTCATACAAGAGCCAGTTTTCAAGGACAGAAGAATGAAATTACAATTATTTGAGAATAGATGCAAGTCTGTGCAAAGAGAGAAAACCAGAAGGAAACGTGAAGCCAGAGGCGATTATGTACTCAGTGCATGAAGCACTCCAAACTCATTTTCAGAACTGAAAAAAAAAAACACCAATACTGGGTTAAAATATGCTTTCTCCATCACTTCCCGAAAGTAGCAGTCCTGAACCCACATCCTTTCTCAGGAGGTGACCAAAAGGCGACATTTATTAAAACCCTATCAGGAGATTTGTGTCAGAAGCAGAAACATAAGCTTGCTCCTTGGCATGACAGGTTCCTATCTTAAACACGGGAGCTCACAGGAAAATTGTTTGAATAGCCCTACCTAGATTTCAGCAAAATCTTGTTAGCAATGCTTATCTCCTATTTGTTGCCAGCTTTGAGACCTGCAATTGAAAAAGCACAGTTTAAGCTCGAGGCAGTATTTACTGTATTTATAAGAACTGAATGCAGAAAGCACGGGGATTGAATGGCGCTGGCGGACAATGCAACTTCCAGTAACAATACAGCAGGCTCAGATGCCCTAGATCTGGCTTGCAATTTCAGCCTGGATCATAATCCTTTTTAAATCATCCAGACTCAGGACAGGCTGAGCTGAGCATATATGACCAATTTAGCGAGAGATCCAGCATCTCAGCCACACTGAGAGAAAGAAAATCCCTGCAGAAACAACTATTAGCTCAGAGGGTATTATTCTCTCTTTCAGTTGAATAAAGCCATACAGAAAAGCCCAACTTTTACAGATTTAGGTGTTTGGTTTTGTGCTCGAGTTAGGCTATGAAACAGTTTTTTGCTAATAAGTGCCATCTAAAAACTAAAGGCAAGTGCAGCTGCTCAGCCATTTGATTCCAGGATGGCTATGAAATTCCAGCTTAATAGCAACATTATCTTTTCATACAAGATTTCACCTTTCGGTATATAATTTCATACCTGACTTCAAAAATGGAGAAACAAAGCTAAATGTAGCTCTTTACTGCTGCAGGCAATGCTGAATCATACTGGGACAGGCAATAGCTGACTGATGCAGGGCAAGACTCTACTGCCACCAGGCTCAGTAGCTTTTTCAAGGGTGGGTTTTTTCCCTGTGAGCATCTGAAACAAGGGGGTGAGGCCTCCTATAATGAGTTTTATCATAGCTGCAGCTTGCAAAACAATCAAACTGTGTTCGATGCTACAGGCTTTTAATACATTTAATACAGAAAGGGGTTTCAGAGAACTGTTTTGGGTGGGGTAGCAGAGTAAGAGATGTGCTTGCGGAAAGATGAACTAACATCAGCATCACTTTAGTTAAATAAAATTATTTAAATATGACACAAGGATTCTCACTCTCTAGATGAATATTAACTCCTGTGTTAGTTGGTATTTGAAATGTGATTATCACTAATTGCCTGCACATTTTGGAATGACTTCTGGTTATGTCAATACAATGCATATTTAAGGGGGGAAGAGACATTTTCAGTTATCACTCATTAAGGACAAAGCAGATGTCAGTGCAGTTGGCATCTATACATACTGCTCATTTTTAAGAAGAACAGGATGGGCTTGCTCAAGTTTGTGTAATTTCTAGCTCCAAGACCACTCAGGGTAAGAACTGATGCCAGCTCCTCTCATCTCCTGCTCCTGATTTGTATGTATATTTTTAAATATGAATGCTCTCCTTACAGGAGACATTTCTCACCCTTTCTGGACTTTTCCACAACTTCCCCACCACCACACACACACCCTGCTCCTGTGCTCAGTGCACTGTCCAGGTGCAGATCTCCTCCAGCTCCTTCCTGCCCCGGTCAAGCTGTCTCAAGCTCCTCAAGGCCCCATGGCCTTTTGTGGGCACCTGGGCATCATCAGGGATGGGTGGGCAGCAGCCTGGGCTGGAGAAGTGGTTGGTGGGAGAGCGCTGGTCCCCCAGAACCCCCACTGTTCCCCTGGCCCGAATGTGTCCCCCCCAAGCTGCTGGGGCAGGGGGGCAGAGAGACAGTAATCCTAGTTTTTGAGGGGCTTAGAGCTAGCTTTGGTTAAATGCAGTACCCAGAATAAGAGGTCAAGTGCCAGGAATGAAAACGTGTCCACCTCTGAGCTTGGTGCAGCAAAGCTTTGCAAAACCCAGGTGTGCTTAGTAATCAAGGAGGTAAAGAGATGAAGAGGGGGAGAAATATCCACTTCAGACCTCTGACCCTATCAGACTTATAGATATACATTATTTATAGAAGAGCAAGTGCATTATAGTTCTTTAAATGTGGATTTTTTTTTTTCCCATTGCTCCATTGCTTCTGTATTCACTTAGCCTTGTTACAAAGCAAGGTCAAGTACAAAAGGTGATATCCTAAGGGAATGTCCATTGGGAAGGAGCTACCAAGTGGGCCCCCTGGGGAGATGCTCTATAAGATGGGCTTGCCCCTTGAGCAGCTTTTTCCCCTTCCCCTGGGACTGTCCCTCTTCTCTGCTGTGGAGGCTGATGGTGCTCCAGGACTGGGATAATCCCTGACAAATTCCAAAGAGGCTGAGAGAGTTGGGGCTGTTCAGCCTGGAGAAGAGAAGGCTCCAGGGAGACCTTACAGCAACCTTCTCGTACCTAAAGAGCCTACAGGAAAGCTGGGGAGGGACTCTGTCAGGGAGTGCAGTGATAGGACACAAGTAAACAGTTTTAAACTAAAAGAGGGAAGATTTAGATTAGATATCCAGAGGAAATTCTTTACTATGAGGATGGTGAGGCCGGGGCACAGGTTGCCCAGAGAAGCTGTGGATGCCCCATCCCTGGAGGTGTTCAAAGCTGGGTTGGATGGGGCTTTGGGCAATCTCATCTAGTGAGAAGTGTCCCTGCCTAAAGGGGGTGGAATTAGATTAACTTTAAAGTCCCTTCCAACCCAACCCATTCTGTGTTTCATGAATCTATGAAACCACCAGGCACGCATCGACAGGTAGGCAGGGATTCAGCTAGCCCCAGCCACCCCCTCTTCAAAGTGAAGTCCCTGGTGGCAAGGAGGTAACCTCAGCATCCACAGGGAATTCTTGAACCTTGTGTTGTCTCTGCAGCCTGGTGAAACCTTGCAGCAGTGGATAGCAAGTAGGGGAAGTACCTCAGACATTCCTTGAATCGTAAAGGTGGATCAGCTCTGGTCCCAGTTGCTGCTCTTTGGTGTTTGAGGCAGTGTGAGAGTCTAAACTCTGCCAGTAAAACACTGGGGTGTTACTGGGTAGTACCACAAACCCAGAGATGCTTGACAGATAAGAATATAAGAGGACAGCACAAAAGAACAGGCACAGGTTTTAATATAAACACTGTGTAAATAAAGGTCCTTGCAGTACAGCTCATAGCACAAGATCTCCAGTTGCTGCAGCATGAACTTTATCACAGATGGGCTCTTTTTTTTTTCCCAGCTCCCTCTCTCTGTGGCTGCTGTGTGGAGCCACCCCCATGGCAAAGGCTGCAGCCAGCACATCACTGCTGCTCGCCCAACAGTTTCTGAAGCCCTCTGCTGCCTTGGAGCTTGTCAGGGTCACTGACATAATTTTTCCTTCTTCCACTTCATTTGCTGCATTGCTCCCTGGAACAGCATCCCTGCCAGGCAGGAATGCTGTAATCCCCCGTCCAGCTCCACCAACCTTGTTATCCTGCATCCACACCTCCAGGATTTTGCAGAGTCTGTTCCCTTCCCTTTCCTGGCTCTGACTGTGTGACTGTTGTTTTCCACCTGTTCCTGATCTGTGCATGTGTTTTCACCCTTCAGATGTTTATTTCACACCGAGCTTTTCCCTACAAATTATCCATACCACAGGTGATGGCAGCTCTACTGTAAACCAGCTGCTGTTTCCTTCAGTGCTATAGCCTAAACACACTCAAAGGAAATCTAGCTGACACCACGACAAAACAGGACCATCTCAGCTGCGTTTGTGGATGTGCTTGGGTTTTCCTGCTCATCCTGCAGCAACATTCAGTGCCTCAGGAACTCAGATCATGGGTCTTGAAAGAGCTGTAAACTGCCTCCAGCCTTACTTTGGCTAGCATGAAGACATACCCCACTTCCCATCAAGAACAAGTTCCTGAAAAGTGTGAGACAGCCCTGAAATGGATAGCAAAGCAATTTTCCCATCAGAATTAATGAGCAGAATACTCCTTGAGATGATCTTGGCTGCTCTGTCTGAGCGCCCAACCATGATCCGCCTTTCTGTCCTTCACACTCGATTGACCTGACTGATCTTGATTCAACCAAGGAAGATGATGCTGAATGTGAGCGTTCAGAAAGAGGCACTGAAAACACTCACAGGAAAAGACTTGTGCTGGGTGTTCGTTCTCACAGATAAAGCAGCCAAGGCCTTTCTGAACACTGAACTCTCCAGAAAGCCTGTGTCCCCTCCAGGGAATGGTCTGGAGGATCCTGCTTTTGCCTCTTCATCCTCTACATCATTATGCACCATCCCTATGTATTTAAGATGTATTTCTGAAGTCTCTGACACATCCTCCTCTGTGTCATTAGTTCTGATGGGTAAAACTGCTTCACTATCCACTGAACTCAGTCACATCTCGTGAGAGCCTGAATACTTGATGTAAAATTTCCGAGAGTGTTGAGCTGCTTCTTTTTAACAGCCACATTTTCCTCTCCCTCATCCTCAGACAAATTAAGAACTTGTCAAGCTGGTGGATGGAGAATGTGGTAGTGAGGATGGTGAATGGAGCAGGAGCCTGAATTATGGACTGTGGATCTCCAGAGAGATGGAGAGGATGATGGACAAAGGGATGCTACTGGAGAACAGCAGGGTGTGTGCATGTCCCCAGCTTGATTTTAACACATTGTTAAGTTTAGGTCCAGGCCCTTTCTCCTATCCATGGTTTCTGAACAGAGATGTATATGCTTTCTGTTGGTTGCACAGGACAACTCTGCTACACGTGTCATTTACTTCTGAAGTGTGGGCTGTGGGTTTAATGCTCAGGCTGCGGTTTCACAACCATTGTCAGATGGAGAAGGAGCTGCTCAACCATCTCCTCCCCACTCCCTCCAGCCCCTTTCCTTGTTGGGCGCTCAGGAAGGAAGGAGAGCTGGCCTGGCTGGCTGCTAAGGCAGCTTTTCTGTGGGACCAGCTGCCTTCTAGCCCTAAAGCTGCATGATACACCTGATATAATCAAACAACTCTGCCAGCTACAGCAGCTGGGAGAGAGGGGTGAGAGCTGAGAGAGCAGCAGCCCTGCAGCCCCCAGGTGAGTGCAGCAGGAGGGCAGGAGGTGCTCCAGGCAGGCAGCAGCAGTTCCCCTGCGGCCCGTGGAGAGGCCCCTGGTGGAGCAGGCTGTACCCCTGCAGCCCATGGGTCCCACATGGAGCAGATCTCCACGCTGCAGCCCCCCATGGGTGGAGGAGCCCCCGGTGGAGCAGGTGGATGTGGCCTGGAGGAGGCTGCGGCCCATGGAGAGCCCCCGCAGGAGCAGGCCCCAGGCCGGAGCTGCAGCCCGTGGAGAGGAGCCCACGCAGGAGCAGGGGGGCTGGGGGGAGCTGCCCCCACCCGTGGGGGACCCGTGCTGGAGCAGTTTGCTCCTGGGGGATGGACCCCGTGGGACAGAGCCGTGTGGGAGCAGTGCTTGAAGAGCTGCAGCCTGTGGGCAGCCCCTGCAGGCTCAGTTCAGGAAGGACGGCATCCATGGGAGGGACCCCACGTGGAGCAGGGTCATGAATCAATGAAAGTTCATAAAATGTATAGAGTCATTTTGCTCAGACTATCACAGTATTTTCCTCCACTATAATGGTTCCTTACTAAAAATCAGAACAAAAATTGAAAGGACTGTGTATTTGTTACTTAAATTGAGCAGTCTTACTCATGATGATTAGAAATCACTCACATGAAAAGTCCCCTTAGTCTAAGTAAATGCATTCAATTTTATTTGTTCAGACAGGAGGTCGATGCGCTGAGCAAGCTGCCATTTTTATCTGCCTGCAATTGCTCTTCTTCATGACTGGGATTCCTTGGCTCTCACGGGACGGATTTCTTCCATGGTGTCATTCACAAGAACTCACATCAAACTGCTTTATCATCTGTCTGCAGTGTTTTTGCTGCTGTTATCAAGCAGTAACACAGCTCAGAGAGGCAACTATTGTGATCCCAGAAGACTTTGAATTTACGGGTTAAAATAATCAGAGACATTTAAAAAAAAAGAGTATTTGCACTCATCCTCACCACTTGGTTGTACTCCACTCAAAAATGATCAGGTTATTGCTGTTTCTGTGCCTAATGCAATATGTTTTAGCAGGATATTCAGTCACTAGTAATTTCAGCATACAAGATATTCCTCCTCATTTTGAATCAAGGATCAATTGGCTTGATGGATGAAGCTGATATTTTTCTGGCCAGACTGTTTGCTTTACATGATAGATTTGCTCTGGCTGCAACATTTTATTTCTCATTAAATTAGCCAGCCAACATTCACAGATGAGGGATTCAACTGATTTAGCTGTAATTTATATAGAGCTCCAACTACATCTTTCCAGCACAGGTTGTGGGGGTTTGCGACGAGCCAGGTTCTCTCCTGTTGAAAAGAGCAACAGCCATAGTCCAAGCCAGCTCCTCAGTGTTTATTTTGATGCAGTATTTGTCCCACTTTAATTGTACTGATAACAGTTTAAGTATCATTCTCACCCCTCGTGTTGATGCAATGTATGTGTTTACAGCTATTCAAGACCAGAAGATGCTTAAGTCAATATCAGATGGCTTCATTCCAACACAAGAAAGTCAGCACTTGAGTTTTAGCTGGTGAAGTGTAAGGTGACATTTAAACAAAACCAGCTGGCCCCAGGAGCCACACCGGGTCCTTGTCCTGCTTATAGTATGCTCTGCTTGGCACCCACCTGCTCACTCATCATTTTCTTTACACTTGCCTTTGGCAGTGCTCCTGCTCCTGGGGAGGCATCCCAGGAGATGCTCTGTGCACCCTCCCTCATGCAGATCTGAGATGCATCTTCCCTGGTGCAACAACAACCTTTGAGAAGTCTTCCGGGACTAATAGCCTTAATATGATGCTGCAGCTTGACCTAAGCATGTGTGGAGGTTATCTATCTATCTATCTATCTATCTATCTATCTATCTATCTATCTATCTATCTATCTATCTATCTTTTTTTGACTCGTGTTGTTTCCCAGAACTCTGCAAAGCTGAATTCTTTCATTCCTCTCACTTATTTCTGCAGAGAAATAAGCCTTGTGCAGCTTTCTGGCACCACCAGCTCTGTATTTACTACTAAGTAAACACAGCCAGGAGCCACTCTCTGATCCTGAGGCCAAATGACACAGACTGGCTATATCCATGCTACACATCCCTTGATCCTGCTCTCCCATCTGGTGCCCTTGTGGCCCTAAGACAATGTTATTAATATGAAGATGCTTTTTTTTTTTTTTTTTTTAAATTTATGCTGTCTAAACTAATAGCTGTGCTTCAGCCCACAGGCATAGTGCTTTATTGCATGAAGCAGAGTATATATCACAGGCATTGGGGTGCTTGTTTGAACATGAGGGATGAAGCCTGGGTGCCTCCACTGTGCCTCCAACCCATGCCCTTATGACAAGGGAAGGAAGGTTTGGGGGGCCCATCGTGGCCATGACATGTGGCCTCCCAGCCCCATCAGGGTCACATCCAGCCCTGATCACACTCTGCTTGCTCACAAGCTGTTCTGGGCCATGGGTTCCTTGCTGTTTTATTTGCAGGTCTATGTGTGAGGCTATTCTGCCACCTCTCTGCAGCTGCAGCAGCTTGCTCTAAAACACACTGACAGTGGTTGTGGCTTGAAACAGCACTGGAAAGTGCTCTGCCCCGTTTATTAAAGTCACCCGCTGCTTCTCATCACTTTATTTTACACTTCACAGTGTAATCAATGTATTTTTGTTTGTTGGAGTGGTGAAATATTCCACTGTTTATTTGTATGGGCTACAAATCTCTCTCTCAAATGCTTAAGAAAAACAAGTTTAGGTGAATTATCTCCAGCAGATAATTTCACCTCTGCATGGAATCTAAAAATAAAGTGGAGCCCACATTCTGCAGATAAGTAGCTTTTAATTAGGTGTGATAATGGCATGAATTATCTTTTAGACTGCAGTAGCTCTGCGATCAGAAGTCAAGCACTCGGTGTGATAATTGTTTGCTAAAATGTTCTTTTGAGGAGAGAAACTCAATGCCAGCACGGATTTGTTTTTTTTCATATAACAGATCTTGGCAGTCTGATTAATATCTTGCATGAATTTGGGCTTCCACAATTATGACACCGTTTTAATATAGCCAGTGGGTCCTTTCAGGCTCTAGTGTAAACTGAGGGCAGTGAAAGGCTGCCTCCCATGTAAGCCCCTGACTTCAGGAGTCTCCTGGCGATGCCTTCTGATATGACAAGCATTGTTGCTGCTTTCTGAAAGTCAGTGGCTGAAGTGCTTGGGGGTACAAGGTGTCTGGGTGGCTGGGATGGAGTAAATGAGAGGGAAACATCAACAGCAAGATTTCTCCATCCCTAACCCACCACAGCTAAAGCTGCCAGAGCCTGTCTCATCAGGGTCCTCCTTCGTGCCGGCCAGAGGGATGCTCTCAGCCACTTCACCCACTGAGATGCTTCATCTCCATTGTCTTTATAGTTCAAGAGTCCATGTATTCAAGTATTTAGTCCACACGGTAGTGATGGTGGGGATGAGGGTGGGAAATACAGCTACTTTTTTTTTCAGCAGGGAAGAACAAACTCTAAACGAAGGTCCTTTAAGGATAGAAGACAGACTGATGGTGCCACAGGGATGTACTTGGCACTTTAAACTGCAGACAGATGCAAGCACAGCGTGTTTGAGCACAGGCAGAAATAAGGAAGCTATCGCATTCCTGGGAAATAAGGATACACCCTGTGATACGACTGCCCTGCCACATGAGACCATAACATCAGCCTGATCAGGTGGGCACCGGGCAAGGATATTTTTCGGGGATGCTCACTGATCTGGATCCCAGCTGCCAAAGGGCTAGGTTTGATTTGGGATGCAGACCACGGATATTCCTGCCCAGGTCTCCCCAGTCTTCCAGTTACATGTAATTTCACGCCTCTGAATGCATGTCCTGAAGTCCTGGCTCTTCTCCTGGTGTCTCCAAGAGCTGTCGTAGGGGCTTCTGGGCAGGAGAAGGCCATGTGGCATCTGGCTGGCATCCTCTTCCTGAGTAGCTCTGCGTGCATCTGCCTGGAGGACTTCATAAAAATTAATTGAGTCGCCCAGCATTAGACACAGATCATAAAGCTCCCATCTGATCTCGTGCCTGCTGCTGATTTTAACAGCCGATGGAGGCAATGAGCGCTAGCTCATCAAGAATACCACAATACTCACCGAGATAGCTGTAACACGGTGCAGATAAGGCTTTAAACATACAACAAAGAGACCCTGCCTGCACCATGAAGCTTACTCCCCTAACAGGAGTAAAACCCCAGGGCAAGAATTTAAACATGGCAAAAGTGATGAGGATTACTGTTCGAGTTGCGAGTTTCACTGAAAAGCAAATTTGTGCCTCCAATTAATTTTATATTTTATTGTTTGTTTTGAAGTGAAAGAGAAAGGGAGAACTGGAGAGCAGCCAGACAAGGCGTGGAAAAGCTTTGCCATGGACAAGCCCCGTTTCTGCCCGATAACATTTCTGCCCACATCGTGCCTTCCCCAGCAGATGCCTACCTGTGCCTGGATTCCAGACCCGAGGTGACAGCATACAGAGGCTGGTTTTCCCTGGAAAGCATGGAAAGTGAGAGCCCAAGATCCCCACTGAATAATCTGCTATGAACCATTTATGTGTTACAGAGCCTTAATTTCACAGAATCATGGAATCACAGAATGGATTGGGTTGGAAGGGACCTTAAAGCCAATCCAGCTCAAACCCCCTGCCATGGGCAGGGACACCTCCCACCACACCAGGTTGCCCAAAGCCCCATCCAGCCTGGCCTTGAGCACCTCCAGGGATGGGGCAGCCACAGCTTCTCTGGGCAGCCTGTGCCAGGGCCTCACCGCCCTCTGAGGGAAGAATTTCCTCCTAATATCTAATCAAAACCTCCCTCTTTTACTTTAGAGCCGTTCTCCTTGTCCTATCTCTACATGCCCAATAAATACCCTCCCCAATTTTTCCTGTATCCCCCCCGCACATATAATTTTCACGCGCAGCTCCCACCACCACCCTGCTCCCCACGCACCCCCGCTAACTTTCCACCTTATCCCCCCCCCCTTTTCCACCCCGACGCCCTCCCCTCACCTTGCGGGCTCCCCTTTTTGGGGACCAGCTCCTCCTTTCTGCTTCGAGCATCCCGGGGCCCGAAGCGGGGCGCGTTTCCCACGGCCCCCCCCCAGTGCTCGGGGCGCGGGGGCGGCGCGGGGGGAGCCTCGGGCCGCGGGGGGGCGCTGCGGCTCGGCTCGGCTCGGCTCGGAGGCTGCGCCCCCCGCCGCTATATAAAGGAGGCCGGCGGCGGCCCCCGCTCCGTCCTGCCGGCAGGAGGAGGAGGAGGAGGTAGAAAAGGAGGCAGGTGAGAGCCCAGCATCGCTGCCCCACTCGGGGCAGCGCCACGGGAGTGCTCGGGGTTTGCCCTCTGTCCCTGCCACGCATCCCTGTGGGATGGGGGGACTGGGGATGGGATGGGGAGGTTGGGTGGAAAAATCCTCCGGGGATGCGCAGCGGTCCCCGAGCTGTGCTCCGAGGGGGAATCGGGTGCGTGGGAGCCTCTCCGTGGGGGTGGGAGAGCAGGGAAGGAGGAAGCCCTGCTGGCTGGGGTGGGCGGTGTGCGGTGTCGGGTCCGCTCCTGCGAAAGTTTGGAGGATGCTGAGAAGCGGGGCGCCGCGTCCTGGGGGCCTCCGGGTGCGAGAGGGGCAGGGGGAGAGCATCCCGCTGGGCACGGCCCCAGCCCGGTGACCCTTCCGAGGAGGTGCACCTCGATTTTCCTCGCTGCTGAAAGGCAAATAAAGCCTCTACCGTGAGTTACAAGCCAGTGTTTCCCCTCGGTGCGAGGGGAAAAAGCGAAAATGTGGAGGGCAGGGTGATGGGTGCAGCTCTCCCTACTCATAAGCACCTCTTCTTGAAGAGCTGTTCATCCAGGCTGGCAATTTCCAACTCTGCTTAGGCTGCTCCCTTTCCCCTCCCTAGTAGCGAGCAGCTGAGCCCGGTTGCTCCAAGCATGAAAAGAGCCTGGCCATTCATCACTGCGTGAAACTTCAAAGATCAAAACCCTAATAAATACTTCCCAACAAGTCAAGCGCTGGAAATATTTGCGGGTATTCAGGTAGCGGTAGCACAATAATTAAATGTCAAGTGTTTGCACGCAGGTTGTAACTTCGCGGTGGATGGCTGCATGAAGGAAGCACTTGGCAGCAGTTGAGCTGGATGTAATGTGATGCAGAAATGCCTTGCTCTGGGTTGATTTCCTACAGGAATTATTATATTCTCTGTATGTTCTGTGTAGTGTTTGTGGGTATCACTGTTTCTCACCCCCTGTTTGAAGCAGGGGTGTGGGCTTTTCTATATCCCCTGCTCTGTGAACTCTTAGCCGGTCTGTTGTTTTCCAATGCCATTAAATATACCCGATTGCTTGTCTCCTTCCATCTCTGCAATCTGCTGGGGAGAGCAGCACAGCCTGTGCTGCAGGAGTGTGGTAGCAGTGAGCTACGTGTGTGAAGATGGAGATTAACTTCTCACTCTTGCTTTATTTATCAGCGCCTTAATTCCAGCAGAATAGAGCTGCAGCACAATGTACAAAAGGGGGATTTTGTAAGTGAGCCTTTCAGCAATGTATTGTCAGTTTGGAAATAACTGCATGAGACTAGGGGGGCTGAGGAAAGCTTTGCAAGGCTGTGTCCATGTGGCTCATTTGAAGTAACTTCTGATATGATACCAGGTCTTTCTGTATGTTCATCTTTTAAGGACAGAAATTGCTATTTGGCTACTGATCTAACAAATGACAGGCAGAGGTTTGGGTCTGATAGAAAAACTACTTGCCTTTTCAGCAGTGTCTCCTATGGTAAAGTTTTGTAAGGTGTTGTCTGTAGTGATAGTGACTGTATGAAGAAAGTAGCTTAACGCTTCTGGGCCACATTTCTGGAATGTCTATTTCTATGCCAAATACATCAGGATATAGCAAGCAATGCTAGATACTTAATGAGATAAAGGAGGCAAGAATTAGCGGCATGGATATTGCAGAACTGCTGTTCTCCACATCTGTAAAGCACAGCAGCACATCAGAGGCTGGGCAGGGAATTCAGTATCCAGTAAGAAATAGTAATAAGCAAGAACTTTTATTCGTAAGTAAAACTTTCAGCTTCTTTATTTCCTAAATTCCTGAAGGAGTCACCAGAAATCAGCATAGGACAGAACTGCAGACCAAACTGCAGGCTCCAAAAATGTGTTTTCTGGAGAGTCACACATTGGTAGATAACATGAAGCACAATAGACTAGTACAGTGGTTTAATATTTGATTGAGCACTCTGGAGGAGGAAAAAAAATAAAACATAATGGACATGTCAGTAAAGATGCTGAAATGTCAGCAACAAGTGGTACAATAGGAGGTACGTTGGCTGGATGCTGAGGTTTGCTAACAGGAATCAGAATATCTGCATTGGAAAGGGTCCACAAGGATTGTTGAGTCCGACTCCTAGGACTACTGAAACATGTCAGATTTAGCAAATGCTTTCCCAACAAAAGGACTGTGCATTAGCATGTTATTTATAATCATGCTGGCCTTGTTTAAATGCAACTCTTACAGAAAATTCTGCAGTCAGCTTTGTTGAGGTCGTAAGTAGTTGAAAGTGGAAAGTAGCAAGCAGCAAAGCTTAGGTGCATGATGATTTTGCAATAGCAAGCTCCTTACAGACTCAAACCTATTGGAACAGTCTTCAGGAAAGTAATTCAGATGGATTTTTGTAACTTATTCCAGCACTATCTTACTGTGGCTGGGTATACTTTTGATGCTTTGCTCTCCAGAAGCCTAATTTGTTCTGTCCATTGCAATTAGCAAGGGTGTTATCTGATGTTCTGGATTTCAGGGTGAGGAACTGATTTATGTCAAAGACCTGTTAGTCCATTGTGCTGTAGAATCAGATTACCATTGTGCAGCTGAAAGGTATGTCTGAAAAACATTGAAGACCTCTTAAAAAGTACAAAGACTTCCTTGATACAAGGAAGGGCTGCCTGTAAGGCTTTATTTAAGCAGTCGTCATAGTAATTTATTGGAAGAATTGTTATTGCAATTAAGTGGCTATAAAGCTGGCAGTTTGTCAAAGCTCCTGGGCCTGCGAACCTTCACATTTCAGGGCAGGAACTGGCTTTTGGTAGAGATGAAGTTATTCTGCTCTTGTGGGCTGATGTTTAAAGGTGCTCTACAGTGCGGAAAGTGACCTCTGTAGCACCCTGGCTGGAAGACAAGCAGATCTAAGTTCCTCTGTAATTGTGTTAAAGTGAGTTTAAGACTGCCCTTAGCTTCCTCTCCAGAAATTGGGAGCATGCTGGCCCACTCTTGCAGGGCATTTGGGAACTGCATGGAGAAGCCCACTTTGTTCCAGCAGAGTCATCTGTATCAAAACTCTGCAAATGAGTTAATCCTTCAAAGCATCTGGTGCAGCAGCAGTTCCCAGGCTTTGCTGGTAGTGACATCACATGCAGATTAGTGATTTTATGCAAGCCCTAAAACTAGCAAGAGCATCATTTGCAGAATTCCTTGGATTCCACTCCCATTCTGCGATCGTGACCCTTAATTGAGCTGATGGTGTGCTGTACAGGTTGCTGCTCCTTGTGTGAGCCTTCAGGCTGTTCTACCCAGAGATAAACTTGGAGGCAGCTATTGCATTGGATGCAGGGCTGGAAGAAAGGCATAACTTGTGCTCTTTCTCTGCACAGCTGTGAGTATCACTTCAGCAAGCACTTACAGGAGAATGACTTCCCTTTGAAATCATAGCTTAAAAGTAAACAAGCATCCAAAACACATGCTGGGCTAATTAGTTTCTCTATTAAGTTTTGCTTTTGGATTTTAACTGTTTGATAGCTTATCCTAAATGAGTTGGCTTCTGTGGTTATTATCCCTCCAGGCAGCTCTAAGTTATGGCAAAATACTAAGGCTGCCAAGAAGCCAACCTGGCAGGAGAGCTTGAACAGAGATGCTCTGGTAGTGCTGGATGATGAAGAGATGCTCCAGCCCTCTGGCATGTGTTGTCTCTGCCAAGCTTTGCACGGGGCATGTGGAACAACCCTTTAAGCCACCTGAGATTTGCTTGCAGTCCTCATAATAATTCTGAAGCTTATACTATTAGCAAATTTCAGAGGGACTGGATGACTCCTGAGTAGTGTACTTCTGTGCTACAGGGCGCGTTGATCTTATTCAATAAGAGTTAGATTGATGGGGGAAAAAATAAAGCTTTGTATTCAACATTTCTGAGTCTGATGTAATTTGTTCATGCCAGAATGCCAGGAGGAATCGTGGCATGCTGTGCACAGGGAAAGCTGGCAGGATGCTGTGCTCAGAAGACATTCACAAGTAAATCGCAGTCAAGTACACCCGGCAGAGCCGTGCTCTTGGAATGAACGTGTTTGTTCTGGTGTAGCAGCCTGCTGGGATCTGAGGTTCTTCTCTTGCCATTACGATGAAAAGGCTGCTTAGCTGTTGGTGCAATGTGATAGAGGGAGGCTTTAAAAAAGGGAACAGTAGTCAAATAATCTACCTGAGCCTTGGTGAACTCAAACTGCTGCATGCACAAGGCAGGGGATGTTACAGGAACAGGAGCTAGTAGCTAGGACAGCGTTGCTTTGTCCACACTGCAAAGTTCAGGTCCAGGTCCTCTGCCTTTATTCATGTGAGTAATCCTTTAACGTCAGCGGAGCCAGCCAGCCACTGATACTGAAGAAATTAAAGCCCTGAGGTTCAGGTCAGAAGACACAGAGCTTTGTGCTCCCCTGAGGGCCTGGTGGGAACATGGGCAAATGTTGCTTTATTTCACCTTCTGGATCTTGATGCCTCAGGTGATGTGCGAGCTGAGTCGCTGTGAGCTGCAGCAGCTTTCAGGTTAACCTGGTGCAGGCAGAAAACACCACGGCACATTCATTTTTAGCTGCTCAGCAGTTTTAGAATCAAATCTCTGAAAAGCTGCCTGGTTTGATTGTTCCTGTTACATAACAGCAGTGTCTTTGGGATTTGAGAGGAGCCGGGAGCAACATGTCTCTTGCATAAATCCCAGCGGCTGTGGTGATCTGCCCTGACCCTTGGTGGCCAGGAATGGCCTCAATGGGGCTGAGTTTCTGGGGTGGAGCTGAATCAGCCTTTACCCCCCCCCTCCCCCCCCATTTCCAGCTGGAAGCAGTTAATTTTGTGATTTTTGGCACCTTTGTTTGCTCCTGAGCTTGATTTTAAAAAAGACTGAAGGTTAGGTCAGACCCTTGATTAAAGGCTGTTGGAGAAGGTTTTCATGAGGATTTTTGTCTTGTGGGGCAGTGCCACATCCTGTTTCCCATGGGGAAATGCTGGCTCACTTGGGGGTTGTTTTGTGGCAGAAGCTGCAGTCAGGCACAAATCTGAAATTCAGGGGTCTCTGATGTCCCTCTGACTCCAGGGGGGTGGCAGATCTCCTTCCTGCCCTGTGTTTGTGTGCTGGATGTGAAAGTGGTGGACCAGCAAGTGAGCTCATGGAGCAGGAGTGGAGCTGCAGTGAGAAGTCAGCTCCATGTGGTTTGGTGTCCCTGCAGCAGGTCTGAGCCTTCACTTGACCCTATTTCCTGATCTGTTATCTTGGTTAAAGTGGGTAAAACAGTATGGAAGAGCATCTAACCCCCTAGACCTGCCCTAAGGGTGCATGTGCCTCTTCACCTCTGGTGCAGGCTGCACCTCCTGGCTTTTCCATGGGAGAGCTCTGCTCTGAGAGTGCTGGCAGCCCCTGGTGTAATTAGGAGCATTTGAAGAATGGTGCAATAAAAAGCAATGTTAGGGGGTTGTTTAGGGGAAGGATTGAGGTAACCATGCACAAAGACCTATCTAATTAAAACTGCAGGAAGATAGAGATGGTGGCTAATGAGGCTGAACGTGCAACTTAATTTAACGGAGTTATTTGCAAAGAAGCAACCTGCCTTGTTGGGGAATGGAAGAGGAGGAATAGAACATACCTAATATTTGTTGCCAAAGTATAAATTTCATTGTAATTAGTGCAAATTTTTCTGCAGGCTTCTTTGGATTTGTGATTTTACCACATTTCTATGAAATGCATCAAGAATGGTAACCACAAATTGCATGTGAATAAAACATTTAAAGACTACTATTTAATTAAATCTTACCTTAAATCCCATCTGTATCTTCATCTTCTAGTATCTAAGTTTTCATCCAACTTTTCTCCACCTGCTTTGAACCCCAAAGAAGAAATTGTCTTATGACTTCATTTTTAACTCAGCTGTCCTTCCTTTCCCTGCCCTGTCATACAGGTCTCTTCTGTCGTCTATCTGCTCTGCTTGTCCTACAGTCACATCCCTCTTTATGGTCTCCCTTGCATTTGTGACTTTAACTCCTCACTCTAATCTCTCCTTTTCTCTTATACAAATACATGTCACTGAACTAATGACAAAAAAGATGGCAAAGCTTTTTAATATATGGTCTGATCGGTCCTACTTGACAGATTCTCATCTAGTTTCACTGAGGCTCTTGGCAGTTTGACTTTGGCATCTTTTACCACTTGTACATCTCAAGACCTCTTATCACATCTCAGGACTGGCTTGCTTTCTTTCCCTGGCTTCAGCTGTGATCTCTGGTACCATAACCACCATTATGTGATGTTTGTTTCTTGTGACTGCGATCATCTCTTGACTTACGTATTTTCTGGATGATCTTTCTAGCTCTGGTTTCTCCTCTCTCTCTCCCTACTCTTCCTGGATGATCTCATCAGAAACAAATTCAGCTAAATCTCCCTGAATTAGCAATGCATTGCTCTTATTCCATCAAAATGTGGCATGTGAACAGGGGACCGAATAGCACAAAGTCCCTTAAATACTGATCTTTGTAAATATGTCAAAACCTGACTAAGTTTAATCTGTGCTTCCCCTTCAGTTTGTGCCCCTAAACTTCACTTAAGAGCACTGACTGGCTTTAAAGGTCTTACAGAGGAAGAGGAACAGAAAACGTGGTGTTTATTTCAAAGCTTTGCATCTTCCTCTTTTTCCAGGATAGGTGCACTGCTTCATTTGAGTTACTTTTAACTAGGATCAACTTATCTGTGAGTTCATGTCAGGAAATTGAGACAGGACAGCAATCAGAAGTGCAGGATGTTTGATCTTTAGCAGAGTGTTTACAAAAGGTTTGATGGTGTTTGTCCTTGTTACCTACTCTAATTCTAACGAGCCTTTTGTTTGTTTTTTTTAAAGGTTTCCACCCTGGGACTGTCTTCTAGGGTAAACTATCACCAATGGAAGTAACATTTGTTTTTCCAGCATTCTGGGTAAGTGTCTTCTGTTTTTGTCTGATTTAATCTTATAAATGTTTGCCACCAAAGAGCTCTTTTTGCAAGTGGTCTTTGATTTTTGTATTAGTGTTATTCTGTCCAACAAAAAGAAAACGCCCTCCAACAATTTTATAAGCAATGTAGATAAAGGTGACTTCAAAGTGAACCATGAGGCTCTTGTACTGGGGGAATTATCAAATGTAAATAGACGTCTTCCCTAATGATTTTGAATTTTGCCTGGTATGTATAATGTATATTGGAAAATGTGCTATGCTAGTTTAGATTCATATCTAAACTGAATCTTGTTACTTCCTTTGTGTAGTTCTTTGGACTGTCAAGAGTTGTTTTTTAAAGGTATGACAATATTTGAAGCTGGTCTTTTGTGCTTGGGACAGTAGGGAAGGTGTAATCCCGCAGTCTGGGAGATGACTGTGGATCCTAGTAAAGTCATGTTGTGGTGATGTGAAGTTGTGCTTGGTAGTTGTGAGCAATAATGATGCTTGCTGAAGCCTCTGGAAGGTCAGCAATGATGTTATACCTGTAAAAAAAAAAAAAAAAAAAAAAAAAAACAACAACAAAACTTTTGTGTTAGTAGGGTGAGACAGTCTGGTGGATGACCTTGAAGGGCTTGGTCAAATTTGTGTGTTATGTCATTCCTACCACAGTGGCTTGTACAGCAAGACAAGAAAAATCAACTGTCCACATAACTGTGTGGCTTTCTGGGTATGCATCTCCTGCAGGCAGGTCTGATCCTGACCCTGGAGCAGGGGAAAAAAAAAATCTGGCCTGGCTGGAGTAAGTCTGGTGACCTGGAAAAAACATTGCTCTGTCCTTTGGGGAGACTTGCTCCTGGTCTGGCCTGGAGCTCCTGCCAGAACTGGGAAATAGCCAGGATCCCAGAGAAACCTGTGGGAATGTCTCTAGCCTGCAGCATGGTGAGGAATCACTCAAGAGTGATGACTCTGATTTCCTTCCTCAGCTTGATACCACATGAGCAAAAACCACAAATCCAGGTTACTACCAAGGGCATTCCCTGATCCCATTCAATTTAGGAAATGCTATCGTGTCCATCTTCTTCCCCAGCCCAGGCTACAGACACAATAAGGACTAGTAGGGCTTGGGAAGGTGAAGCAGACATCAGGCTCAATCACAGCATGATCCTGGCTTCCAAGGGGTTCTTCAACTGGACAGATGCACGAGACAGCACTACATCATGTGTTAGATAGCACATGTATCAGATAGGAACTGTATGGTTGCAGGAGTCTGGAGAGGAATAACCCACCCCTTACCCAAGCTGAAAGCTGCTTCTCTGGCAAGTCATGCTCACTCAGACGTGCATTTGGCTGAGAAATGGGTGGTTGAGTTGGGTGTAACTGTCTCTGAGTGGCATGTGCATCTTGGGTACACACAGCAGTAAGGCACCTAAACATGCAATGGGAGAAACACCTGCTGGGCTTACAGGTGGCACATGATGTTCCTGCGCTGTTGCCTGACACAAAAGGACGAAAGGATGTGCATTTCTTTGAGGACACTTGCAAAACTTTGTAGTAAGGGATGCACAAAAATTCATATCACTGCCTCTTACGAATTTCCCATGCACAAATTATTCCATTTTTACAAGCAGATAACTGTTTTTGCCTTCTCATTAGTGGGGTTGTAAGCCTTTTAACTCCAGCAGTGAAGTTAAAGCTGTACATCTCCTGTGCCTAGGGAGAGCTGCTGCTGAGACCCATGCCCAGCTCTCACTGCCACTAACTGGATGAAGTCCAAGGTTGGACCCTGTTTTGGAATTTGGTTATGGAGCCAAAAAGCACAAGTAACCTGAAATGAGGAATACATATGAGCCCTGTTGAGTATTCTTAATTCTCTGTGCCTGTGGATTTCCTAGTTTGAGGACTCCAGTGTTTGGATGACAATTGCAAAAGACTATTGCTATATGAAGCAGGAATTGTACAATGATTCAGTATTGTTTAATTGTCTTTAAATAAGATAAAAAGAGCACAGCAAGTAATTTCTTAGTAGGTATCTCCAAAATGTCCCATTAAATTGTTCCTTTCCCTTAAGTATGTTTCATCAGCAGGTGTTGAGTCCTTGTTCTTAGTAATGTGTCCTCTTCCTTTTTGAGCTGACATGTCTGCTGTAGTCAAAGTAAGACTTTGAATAAGAATAAAGCTTCCTGGCCAGTTTCAAACTCCTCTATTCTCTTCTTTCAAAGAGGACCCAGTGTTGTGTGTTTGGAGATAATGTGCTTTTCACTTTCCTCATACTGATCTCAGAGCTTTGTGTGTGAAGATGGTGGGCATACAAAAGCATAACCCTGCTCAAGAGATCTGTATGAGCTTACAGTGCATTGCCCTCATGCCTGTACTTGATGGGAGGTATCCTGACAGCACTGCAATGTTGTTCTCATAGGAAACTATTTTCAATAATGCCAAGGAGTTGCTTGAAGTGGTCTGCATGGGAAGTTGTGGATCAGAGAGTTGATGCTATACATCTGTATTTACACAAACAGCTAGTGAAATGCCTCTAATAGTTTTGTAGCTGCTTTCAGCTATAAGCAGAAACTCAGGAAAGCAACTTAACAATATTTTAAGTCATCCAGTAATTTAACATGGGATTACCATTGAAATCTCATAGAAATACTCAAGACATCCTATACTGTATCGGATGGATTAAGCATGATTCACTTATTGCTTTAAATTCCAGGGGGATTATTAATGTCTGGGTCATTGTTTCCTAGACTTACAAATTTAAAGGCCAGAGGGGACCATGTGAATAAGTTCTTTCTGCCTGCTCTGTGCAGGTCAAAGAAATACAGGGTATATCAGTTGTCCTTTAATTCCTTTGTTCAGCATATCTTCCTGAAGGAGATCAAGGCCTTGATTTAAAGGGTGTCAGTGGTAACGAATCTGCCATGTCACAGGTAAATTGTTAAAATAAATAATGAGCCTTGCTCTTGGAGGCAGTCTGTAGCTCTCTTCAGCTTCCAAATGTTGTACCTCAATTGTTTTTCCTGCTGGACTGACAAGGTATCTGTTATCTGAGATGCTGATTCTCCAATTAGCCACTTCTAAAATTCATTTTGTAGGAGCTGTGTGGAGGTATGGTGGATCTTTGAATTCAGGGCTTTATGTATTGCATGACTTTAAATTGATGTATGGTGTGAAATTAGGAGTAGTAATGTGTCATGTCAGCACACTGCACTGCCATTATCAAATGATGATGTAACTGCATACAAATGATCAGATTTACATGACCAGACCTATTTTCCATACAGCTGTGCTGATTGGCGTTAATTGTGCCTCTGTCTTTCAATGCCTTATTGATTGTGTCCCATGATAACCTTTCCCTGATGCTGCTTACTGCTGATGTCAGTCGAACAGTTCGATAGCAGCTTAGGTTATCCCACTTAACCCTTTTCAATACCGCATCAATTTCAACTCTCTGCAGTCATGTTTAACAGCAGTCATTGCATCATGAAACTTATTGGCATGTCTGCCCTGTGGTAGTGAATTCATGTTTTTAATTGAGGGGCTATTTAAAGCTCTCCAATTACTGATGGCATGGGAGGTATGTCATTATCACTGAGATTTGAATAGAGCATCCTGCATCTTGCTGAAAACAGAGTAGAAGCAGTTGTCAAGTACATTTGTTTTTTCCTGATTTTTTTTATAGTCTGGAATGACTAGTTATTGAAGCCATAGCTTGGAATGTACTTACTCTTGTTACATTTAGGGTGGTGCTCCTATTGTTATAAACCTTACCAGGCTTCTATTTTTTGCTTGCTTCCATCTTTCGTGTGCATTTCTGCAATGTTAATTTGTATTCGTTGTTATCAGTGTCTTTTCCCCATCTGTTATGTACTGTGGGTTTGTTTTACAGTTTGTTTTTTTTTTTTTTGCTGCTGCTGTCACTTTCCTTAGCTATAATTCTTTAACCAAAAAAGCTTTTATGGCTGTAACACAGTGATTTTTTTGGCATGTAATAAAGTATCCCTAGATAAATGGTTCACCTGTATCCGGTAGGAGTCAATATAACATTAGCTGGAGCTGACTTCTTCTGGTGCTAAGCCATGGAGCAGTACTTGTAGACTTTCCAGAAATCTTCTAGTAAGTGCTTCTTCCAGAACAGATTCTCTGCTAGAATAAAATGAAGTATGACAGTATTTTTTGTAACTTTGAGTATATGTGCTTGAGGAGTACCTCATTCTGTTCTTACCTCAATTGAAGAACTTCTAGCAGACCCCAGCCTGTCTCATCCTGTGACTTGCCAATAGCCCAGTTTGTTTTCTTTGTGCATGTAGTGTTCATGGCTTTTATCTTGTCCATACTCCTTTACTTGAATAAGTCATTTTTTAGCATGACCATACTATGTTTTTATCTTAACCTTTAATAGAATTAAGCTTCATTTTAAAAAGGCAATTCAAATCTCAATTGAAACTGAGCCCTGTCATTGCAATTGTAAGTATTCAGAGGAATGAATAGTTTGCCCTCTTTTATTTTAGAAAAAAAAGCTATTGAAATATTAACAGTACTGGTGAAGGCATTGCTTTCTGTTAGTGCTGTAGTACACAAGTCAAGTGCTTTGACAATTCATATTGAAGAAGTATATAGAAGTTATTTGTCTAACTTCTGCAGTCAGCAGCTCCCAATCCATGTGGTCTTCTGTAAGCTTGTGGCTGCTGCTGTGCAAAGGTAGGAGAATGCAGATGTGGTGAACTTCATGGGATGCTGTGGTCAGCTTTGGGGCTCACTCTGCACACTGGCAGAGGAAGAGGACAGTGGCTGAGGTCAAAAGTTGATTTTCTTCTTTGTGAAACAAGCGTGGTCTTAAGTGGTTCCTTCTCAAATCGCTAATAAAGAAGGCTTTTAAAACAGCATACATGCAGAAATTAGCTTATGGCTATTTGAAATAACTTGTTAACATAATGGTGTTGCTGTCACCAGAACTGACTTGTACTGACCTAGCCTTGGTGAAAGTTTGTTCCCTTGGTAGAG